ATTTCTTTAATTTTGCACGAAGTTTTAAATTTCTTCACTGACTAAATCATTAATTTGCTACTCTTAATACATTTTAATTCGAGTTATGTGTTTAATGCATAGCAATGTGTATTTTTAATAAGTTTCATGCGCACAAGCAAGCCATTTTCGCATTGTGCGAACATATTTTTATGTAGCTTTATTGTTTCCATGTTTATTTTGCATGTTCGACATTATTTTTACACATGTCATGTGTCAGGTTAAAGGAGCACATTTTAATCAGAGTGTAGCATCCAGTCAGTTAAACTTCTGGGATATTGATCTGGTCATTTACCGTAAGTAGCAGTGATCGGTTTCAGGTGCTTTAGTGTTAATTAAATTAAGAACAGATACAACAGAGGAGTAACAATGAGACAATGCTCAAAACAGGAATGCATTTACAGGTGGAGGTCACTAGCAGTTTCTTCCCTTCTCATCTTTCCTGACTTTTTTTCCCATTAGTTTTGCATAAGGCTAGGGTCAGTGTCACCACTGTTAGCATGAGCAATACCTGCACCCTACAGAGGTGGCACAGGTAGTGCAAATCCTCCAGGATGGTATAACAATATTGCTAGAAGGGTTGCCTTGTCTCCCAGCACAGTCACAGGAACATGGAACTGATTCCAGGAAACGAGCATATACTTTAGGAGAGCTGGACAGGGCCATAGAAGTCCTTAACTCATCAGCAGGACTGATATCTGCTCCTTTATGCAAGGAGGAACAGGATGAGCCCAACAGATTGACCAACAGGAGGCCAATGGTGTGAATATCTCTGGCCAAGCAATCAGAAATAGACTTTATGAAGGTCAGCCTCCTCCAGTGGGCTCTGTGTTCACTGCCCAGCACCGTGGAGCCCAGTAGGCAGGTCCACCAGTGGCATCCTGTGCTTGTCACAGATGATAGCAGCCTCACCCTGAGCACAAGTGACAGACATGGGAGGGCCTGGAATAGTCGCGGTGAACATTATGCTGCCTGTAACATTGTTTCAGGCCATCAGTAGATGGTAGCATATCAGTAGATATATCCCACAAGAATCTGATGAGTTTCTTTAATTTTCTTTTAACAGCAGAGTATTTTAACACGTATATGTGAGCGTTTTAGGTTTCAACTGGCTTTTGTTACAAATTAAATATTTTCGTTTCAGGATATGTTTTACGTATTAGGCCTACTAGGTGTCTTACAGACAAAGGTGACTGTAGAAAGCCGATTCCCTGGCTTGATACTCTTGATTTCCATCATGGTCACGGTGGAAATAAATAGTTAATGAACCCACATTTTTACTGAATTGTAAACGGCATGTTTATAAAAATTCAGCAAGATTAATTTCTAGCTGTTGCCCTTTATTCCTGTTGTTGCTTTCTTTTCCTCAGGGATCGTAGAAGTGTTGATGTGCCGGCACAAAGCCAGAAATGCTCTCGGCAATGTGTTTGTGTCACAGGTAAGCAGACTTCCACGTCTTTCTCTCTCTCTCTCTCTCTCTC